AGGGACGTTTCTTTACCTGCCGCTGGGAAGACCGAGCCCGTCGTCTTCCCGGTGACAATTCGCACTTCGGGATTTCCTTCCTCCCGCGGCATTAAAGGTTGCCGCAAGCATCGCCCATCTTGACACGACGTTTTAAAATTCAAAAGGGTAAATGCTACAACAAAAGAAATTAAAATAGCTCGTTACTAGAGTAGCCAAGTGTAATTTCATTTTCTCTTTAAACTCTTTGACCAAAACTGTCGGGTTTTGCTGTTAGGGACATTACTTTAATTGCCACAAACTATCCGCAGAGAATTTTCTTTTAAAATCTCTTTTTCGATGCGTAAATCGACTTATTACGGAAATCCACGTGTAAGGGAAGAGCGAAAGATTTGTTATCGTTGCTGATACTAAAGACCGACGAGGCCCTGCCGCTTCTTACGAGTGCGCACAAACCCAAACCGCTCCGGGGCAGCATTTGTCGGGGGGAGAGGGGGGGTGTCTTTGGCCAGCCTAAGCGGAGTATTTAATTTCTCGTGAAAACTAGACCTCTTTCGGTACAAAGAGAAAAAGCCTTTCCCGCAGCTGACTATTTTTCGAACTAGTGTGGGGCATTTTTTTGGTTTTCCTTTTCCTGAAATAACCTAGCTTGGTAATTTTTCTTGAAAGGGAGAGATGCTTTCTTGACTGCTTAGGTCTGCGTTATTCCACCTGGCCGGAAGAACTGCCGAAGTCCCTCCAAATCTTCGCCACCCTCAGCGGGACAGCCCGAGGAGGAGGAGGGAAGGCCGGACCCTTCTACCCCGGGACGTGCTGGGGACTTTTGGGAAGCGGCCCAGGCCGCTTTCCGCAGCCGTTCCCTTCTAGCCAGCACCAGGGAGAGAGAAAAAAAAAATCTCTTTTTCTAGCCCAGGCACGCCGAGAGGAGCACGTCCCCTCCGCGCAGGGGACATCTGCTCGCCTCTTCCCCGGAGATGCCCACCCCGACTCCAGTCGCGTTCCCGCCTAAATGACCCCATGCTCCGCAAACCGGGCGCCCGCGTCCGGGCCTCGGCGCCCAGCTAAAAGCCACGGCGGGAGAGGTGGCAGCTCGGGGGCAGCATCTCCTTTGCCGGTGCCCAGACCCAGGCGGCCCGGAAGCTTTTTGCCCTCTCCCTTCCAAACACGTCCCGACACAAATCTCTGCCAGGCAGCAATCAGGCTTTATTGCTTTGCCCGTTCCTCCATAGCTACGGTAATTCCTGGTAACGCTCAATCTTCCATCGTGCTCGAAGGCACACTCTCCAAGATTAAACGACAGATATTGCCCGGACGAGGATTATTCTACTGAGAGTCCCACCCGATCGCGGGCGAAACGGGCTTGGGAACCTGCTCCGACCTGAGCAGCCTGAAGCACCTCCCCGGCCGGCGCCTTCCCCTTCCGCTGTCTCCCCTGCCACGCCAAGCAATTCAGGGACCGGTAATTCTTACCACACTTCACTAAACTCACACACGATCCCCTCGCGTCTCGGAGGTGGGGGAGAGTGGCTTAAACACAGATAAATCCCCGGCCCTTCCAGCCCCTGCTCACTGCACGCAGGGGGATCTCTCTCCTTCCACTCAGGGAGCTGATCCGATTTCCACGATTTAAGCGCCACGGGCAGCAGAAACAAAGCCGCGAAGCATCTCCAGGGACGCAGAGGGGCAGGAACTCATCACGGCGGGCCCGACCGTGCACACCCCGCTGCCTCCCCGCGCCCCGCCGAGCACTGCGGGTA